AGTGCTTGGTTCTGTGCAGTGCACATCCCTCTGAGCCTCCTGGTGACAAAGAATCTAGAGGATGCTGCTGCTTGGGCCTTGCTGTGCTCATGGCAAAGATGTGGGGCTGTGTTGTGTGTTTGTTGACAGAGGGATGAATGAGTAGATGGATGGATGATTGGGCAGATGGATGGATGGATGGATGGACTGATGGATGGATGGGTGGGTGGGTGAACAGATGGAATGGTGGATGGATGGTTGGGTGAATGGATAGGCAGATGGATGAATGGGTGGATGGATGGATGGACAAATAGGCAGATGGATGGGCAATAGGCAGATGGATGTGGACAGGTGTGGACAGGTGGAAAAATGAATACCAAAGTTCAAATCTGAGGCGTCTGTGTCAGAAATGTTTCTGATAGTTCTACTTTTCAGTTGCCCTCTTTCAGTAGAAAGGAATTTTGCCATAGAATTGAGGGAAAGGTGTCAAGGAAATGAACAAAGAAAAGCAAATTTCTCTTGCCTAAAGAGAGCTAACGGCAACAATAGGGATGTAGAGCAGAAAAGCTCAGAGCCAGGTTGCATGGGTTCAAATCCCAGCTCTGTGTCATCCACACAGGCCTGTACCTTAGAGGGGCTGCGGTGCTGATGAGCTCTGTGGGTGGGATGTCACTCTGGGTCTGTGCTATGGACTTGCAGTCTGTGTGTAGCTCAGATGGCAAAGGCCGTGCTGGGCTCAGTGGCCCGGGTCTGCTCTGAGAGTGCCGGGCATCACACTTGCTCCTTCGTCCTCGCAGGATTGGGGGCTCACACACGTGTTGGTTGTGGTGTTTCCCCTCTCCCCAGTTTCCCACCACAGTCCTCAGTCCACATGGTCCACTGTACCCAGGGGGCATTGGACCAGGCGGCTAATATGCATGGCCCACACTTGGAGGAGGATATGTGGCCTGAGCAAATCCCAGGGCATTTCGAGGGGGACCATGGAAGCAAGGCTTCTTTCTGGTGGGGTCTGAGAGCAGGGGTGGTCACTCTGCCATTGTGTGGGTGGCACAGCTGAATGACCCATACTGACCCAGTAGATGCGGCTGCTTCAAAGGCAGACCAACTCAGGCTTATCAATTACATGGATCACATTTTTGTTTCATATTTATCTTGGTTTGAATTGGATTTCTACCTTTAAACCAAAAGTCTGAATAATATAATCAAATATCCAGGGAAGTACTGTTATCCACGGGTTCAGGTATTATCACTTCCTTGGCTGATCAACTCTGGGCTGCACAATGTGGACTATGTTATGATTTAGATAAAAAAATGTCCCTCAATTGCCCACATTCTCCCAAGTGGGGCTCTTAGAAGGTGATTCCGTCATGAGAGTGCCAGCTTCACGGATGGGTAACCCATCCCTGAGTTTGTAGCTGAGTGTGCAGTTAGTGGGTGGCGCCTGGCTGGAGGAAGCAGATCAGCGGGGGTGGGGCGGAAGATCGGTCCTGTCCCCAGCCTTTGCTCTCTCCGGCTCATCCCTGCTCTCACTCCTGGTTACCATAATGTGGGCACCCTCCCTCCACCATGCTGTTCCTGCTATGGAGCCAGCTGGCCATGGGCGAAAACTCCGAAACCGTGAGCCAGCAGAAGCCCTTTCTCCTCTGAGCTGTGTGTGTGTCAAGCATTGTGTCACAGCACCAGAACAGTGACTGACACAAGCAGATACAAGGGAGGATGATTAGGGAGAAGTTCGAGGTGGACACAGGGGGAAGGGCAAGGTGGCATGATTTATTCCTCTTTTCATTTCTCCTGTTTAGCTTGGATACACATGGTCCACTTTTCACCCCGGGGAAGGAACAAAGAGCCCCTCACATACTACCGAATGTACATCTGAGCCAGCCAAAACACCGGATGCTTAGATGGGGTCCTAGGTTTGGTCCCTCAAGGACCAGCATGTTTGATACTAGTGTTAGGTGGGACAGCTGGAGCTGAGTCTCCTGATGGTGCTGCTGCTGGTCCTGCCTGCGGAGTGCCAAGGCTACCCCTAGCGCTATATTCAGCTCACCCGTCCTTTGTTTCTGTGCTGTCCCTGGACAGCTATCACTTCACGGCTCACACACCCGGCTGCCCATCTGCACTCCTCCCAACCGGCTGAGGAGTATGGTGACCCCTGCCCACGCTGAGTCTGCAGAGCCGGCAGGGTCATGTAGGTGCAAAGCACCAAGGGGAGCCCCAATTCTCCTTTCCCTGGAGTATGCCGGCCAGGCAGGGTGGCCCAGGTCTGCACACTGGGGCCGCAAGCCCATCCCTCTCATCTCAAGCTGGCATCTGTTTGGGCCCAGCCAGGCATCTCCTCTAGGGTGACAACACACAGGAATGCCGAGGGTGACAGACTCATGCTGAGCCCTGCTTGGAATTCCATGCTGCTCCTCACCTGCTCATGCATTAACCCCACAAACCTCTCGGGGACTGTATCGGTCACGCACCTCACGCTACAGACCAAGAAAGTGAGGCTCAGGAAAGTTCTGCGATCACCTCAAGGTCATGCACTGGTGGTGGCAGAGGCAGGGAAGGCGTTCCTGCTGTCTAGACCAGGAGGACCTGGTCACAGCACTCTTCACAACCTTGCTGCCCCGGTGGTCTGGGACCACTCTGAAGACCCTCTGGGCACAGGGGCTGTGCCTCACCGTGGGCCCTCCACTCCGAGTTGGGGCAGGGGAGACCCAGAGCAGGCCCCTCCTGGCCAGCAAGCTCCTCCCACAGCTACAGGCCTGTTTCTAACCTAAGGAGGTGACCAAGACAAGCGCCAAACACAGAACTATTTTTACCTAAAATACCAACCTTTGCCAAGGGAAGCACTGTTCTGGTAACCCAGTGACAAACATTTGTCATGTGGCCCAGGGGACAGCCAGGCCTTGCTGGAGGAGGGACAGGAGCTGATGCTGAGGGGACACTCGACATCATTCTACCAAGCACCAGACTGAAGGAATTTCTTTCTGCCTGTGTTCTCTTCAGTTTAAGGCCATTTCAGGAGAAGGAGGCTGGCACTGCTGTCTCCACTGACCCGGGAAGGGGACATTCGGGGCACCGCCCTGTTTTCCATGAGGGGTCGAGGTAGGAAGGGACAGCAGAGCTGCTCTGACCCTGGGCCAGCATCAGAGCCAGCGGAGACCACGGGGTGGGGGCGGTAGGAAGCACGGTGCCACCGGCCTGCTCGGTCAGGGCACTGCTGTTTCAGAAACAGGCTCAGGACAGCGTGGGTCCCTGCCTTCTCCCCGTGGGCGTGCAGGGCTTCTGATGTCCGGCTCTGGACTCAGCACTGAGCCCTGTCCCATTCCCAGCGTGAGGGCTAACAGCTTTAGGGCACTGGCTGTGGGCAGCTATATTCAAATGAACTCCTTCAGCCTTCACACCTGTTTTGGAGGACACTGGTGACTTGCCTGGGGCCCTGCAGCAGCTGGTCAGGCCGGCATCTGAGCCTGCAGTCTGACCCAGGGCCTTGGCCCACCCTAAGCTCCTCGCACCTAAGCCATCATTGACTGAGCACCTAGTACCTGCTGGGTTCTGTGGCTGCAAGGACACAGCTTCCATCCTGGAAGCTCAACTCTGGCTGCAAGGCTTGCCAAGGCTGAGTCAGCCCAAGCCTCCAACTTGAGGTTCAGCCCCCACTCCTTCTCCCCTCCTTTTCCTGCCCTGCCCCTAACCAGTGCCTGGGAGTCAGCAGCACCTATAGGTTGCGCACAGTGATTGTCAGACTCGATTCCCATCCGGCTGTCAGCTCCCGAGGGAAGAACACCAGCCTCTGCCTCCTGCTGCCGCCGGCCGGGATAGGGCTGGGGACCCCTACGCTGCACAGAGCGGAGCACGTCCTGTCACTCAGACCCCACTCCCGCTGCCACGGCAGTCCTTGCTGCCTAAAGTCCTTCTTGGGGTTTAGAGTATACTCTCCTAGGCCCTGAGTATGGCTTGGTGGCTTGAGTATATGGCCCTGGTCTTGTCCCTGCCACAGGACAGCAGCCCCTCAGTGATGCCAAGGTGATGGTCCTGTGATTGGCATCCCCCTGGGTATCCCCTGGGGTGCCTCCTCTGAGGCCCAAGAAGTGGGGTACAGTCCTGCCCTGTGTTCCCCAGGCCTTTCCTGCTCAGTGTGGTCTGGGTCTTGGGCCAAGACGCTCACCCGTGTGCCTGTCACGTTTCTGTGGCCCTGCTATGGGCAGGAGCCTCTCTGTGCCCAACCCCCGCCATGCCGTGCAGCTGCCCTGTCACATCCACCGGCTGCTGGGGTCACGGGGCACCGTTTGATGTCAGCTCAGGTCTAGCCTGCTGACATGGGTCATGGGGTGACCCGAGAGTCCCCTCATCCGGTGGCTTCTGTAGCACAGTGTGTCCCCAAAGCTGCCCTCATTCAGTCTCCCCAGTTTTCCCTCTTCCTCCTGCCATGTGGCCTCCAGGGAAGTCAAGCTCCCTGGAGACCAGAATCAGAATCTGTAAGAACACTGCCTTTATCAAAGCTGCTCCTCTCCAAAGTTTTCCCCCTAGATTCTGCCAGTGCCAGGGTTACCCACAATGCCTACTGCTCCTTGGCACAGTTCTCTGACATGGATCTGTGCTCAGGCCAGTCAGTGCTGCTGCCCTCCTCTGGCCAGCGGCACCCTCTGGGAGTGCAAAGGAGGCAGCCCTGCCTCGCCTGAGCCAGCCGTGTGAGCAAGCCAGCTTTCTCTGGGCCATGTTGCCCTGGCTAAAGGTTCTCTGCAGACAGTTCTGGGGCCCAGACTCTTGGTGAGTCTGGGCTGCTGTCATCTGAGTGGAGAGGGACGTGCCAGTCATGCATAGGCTTCAGGTGCTTCTGGGGAGGACTGGCAGGCGCCCAGCGAATTGCAGAGGCCCGTAGCTGAGTGCAGGCCTCTGGGAAGTTCCCAGATGGAAAGGAAGCAGCACCTGAGCTACAGAGCCCAGCGCCCCGGCCTCCCACTGTCTTCCTCCCTTCCTGAGATCCAGCCTAGGCTGCAGGAGCCACGGCGAAACATGGTGTCACTCACCAGGCTCCTGTCGCGTCACTCACATCCTGAGAACCTTCTTACACCTCGACTCCAGGAGCAGCCAGGGTTTCGGGACCTGTGAAGAGGAACTCGAGATTAGCAGCAGGATCGAGCAACTGGGTGTCTGTTTCCCTTTTCCAGTGGGCTGGGCCACTGGGAGACTGGATGTAGTTGCGAGGATGAAAGGAAAAAATTGGTGTAAGGACTGAGCTGCTCAGTAGGCAAATGCAACCTCTCCAGCTCTGTAGCGATTCTGAGACAGAGAGAGTCGAAGAAAAAGACCCTGACCCTGGATGAGTCAGCAAAGAGGCCCGGCAGACCTTTCCGAGTGACACCACAGGCCCAGCCGCACCTCACGCAGTGTCCTTTGTCCCTGCGAGGCGCGTGTGACTGCTCCCCCCGCAGCCACGGGCTGTGCAGGGTTCCATATTGGTGAGGGCGGCGGGGAAGCTCGATGCTCAGGCCTTGTGTGGGAAACACACCGGTGTCCTTACACAAAGGCCGTGGAGCGTATGTATGCCAGGCGCACCTTCTGTGCTCTGAATGTTCCTCAGGAGAGCAGCAGCCCAGGGCCAGGCCGGCCCCGCTGAGGACGAGCTTGCAGAGCAGTGAGTGGGGGCCGAGCGCCGGGGGCTCTGCAGCCAGCTGGGCAGAGACTGCCTCTGCGGCCAGGGCTGCAGCAGCCACGCTGCAGACCCTGCCAGCCTCTCTCCTGGCTCCCTGGGCCCTGGTGCCTGCAGAACAAAACTTGTTTTTTCTTGTTTCCCTGAGAATTCTCAGGTGAGCTGAGGTTTCTGTATCCATCTGTTCCTGCTCTCAAAGGAGCGCCTTTGGCTGGGGTGAAGGAAACCTTCGTGGTGTCACTTTGTGCTCTCTGGGGACTTGCCATGCACCACGCACCTGAGCTAGATTCCTGCCAGTCAGGGTGAAATCGCACCCTGCAAGCTTCTGGGAGCCAGGACCTGCATTTTAAGAAGGCCCTCCCGGCGCCCTGGAGTCTACAATGTGCCTGTTTGTGTTTCTCTTCCTCAGGAAGATGGAAAGGGCTGCCCATTCTTCAGGGGAAGAGGCAGGCCTGAGAGGCGGCAGCCCCTCTGCCGTGCGGTCCTTTGGTCAGTAGTGCCGCAGGTACAAAGCCACAGAACCACGACCGGAGCCCTGGTCCTCTCCCCTGCACTCTCAGGCAGGCAGACCTCCTTCCTGCAGAGGGATTCAAATTTCTGTGTCCAATCACAGTGGCTGATTTCAATTCTGGACTGTTTAGTTCTCCTGCCCGCTGCCCTTGGAACTAACCATCCAGCTGAAGAAGGTGTCCCAAAGGCCAGCTGACCGGAGTGCTCCAGGCACTGACCAGCCCCGAAGCTCATCAGCCCCCTACTTACGATGGATGCATCACTAGCCCTGTCCTGAGTAAACAGCGGCACAGAGTGGCCAAGTGGCTGTCCGGATGTCGCCCACACAGCTTGTAGTCTGGACTAGCTAGTCTTGAATTCCAAGTCCAAAGGTAGGCCTATGATAGCCCACTGCTCCTGATAAGGAAGGGGCTTCTCGGCACAGGCTACGATGCTCTGGACTAGGGCCGCCTGTCCCCTGTGCTCCTGCTGCATACTCTCTGCACGAGCTGGCTTTACTAATTGGATCCATAGACCAGGAGGAAATGGCTCACCACTCACCCAGAGTGCCCCTCTCAATATCAGCTGGCCAGCTGGCATCCGTAGGTATCAAGAAGGACTGGTTCCAAGACTCCCTGTGGCACTAAAATCCTCGTATGTTCAAGCCACTCACATGACAAGGGGCAGTATCTGTGCATAACCTACCGAAGACTCCTCTGGTGGTGTAACACCCAGTGTGATGTACATGCTGTATCGGTGGTTGGTGCACTGCACTGCTTAGGGAACAGTGACAAAAATAAAGTCTGCACGTGTTTGCTACCCACGAAACGCTTTTCCCAAGTATTTTCCATCAGCAGTTGGTTATGATGTGGAGCCCAAGGGTGCCAAGGACCAGCATGTGTAGTTCGTTCTCCTGCACTTGCTCTCAGAGGCAGATGAGCTCCTTGAGGAACGGAGTGATGTGTTTGCTAGGTGAATGTCCCCAGCACTCTGATGCTGGGAACCCCTGCGGCCGGCAGCTGGAGCACAGCGCCCTGGTACAGCCAGGAGTCTGTGGCCTACACACCACGCCCTTCCCTGGGCTCAGGGGGCCACATACTGTCTTGAGAGGCTGCAGCTTTAGGTCTCCCTGATCTTTGTGCAAGGACCATGTGGCGGCCTACCTTGGTGACAAGGCAGCACAGCCTGCACCTGAAGGTGTCTGTCCCCAGCTGCTTTACCCAGCACTGACCTTTCTGAGCTGCCTTCCATCAAGTTACTTCATTTTGTCCCTTGCCCTATGGTCGCACAGGTCCTAAAGTTACTGATTTTTCTCCCTGCCCCCTTTCTCTGTGGTTCTGGGGATTGAACCCAGAGTCTTGGCACTGAGCTACATCTCCAGCCCCTTTTATTTTTATTTTTAGACGAGATCTCAGTAAGCTTTTAAGTTGCCAGTGCTGAACTTGAATTTACGATCTTCCTGGCTCAGACTGCCAGGGTGCTGGGATTACAGGTATGTGCCAGCATACTGGGTTTTTTTTTTTAAATTTAAACATCAGCATGCCATTTTAATTTTGCTGCTATCTTTATCAGGACTGTACTTTGTTACAGACTTGCATGAGTTGTGAGTGGTTCACTGTAACTCTCTCATACCTGAAGCTCTGGATTTCACAGTTTTTTTAGGATGCAAGGCTGTCCACAATGCTTATACCATTTTATAGCAGAATTACCTCCACAGTGAGAGTTACATTGTAGGTGCTCATTTCTATATATAACTTAAACGCACAGTGAGTACTGCTGTTAAATACGGCTCATGTTAGCACTGACTATGTTAAATATTAAACTACTCATCGAGTACCTGCATGTACCTGACCCGGTGCTAAGTACCAGATAGATATCAATCAGTGAAACCCAGCCTCACCCTAAAGAATGGTACAGAAAAGGAGAAAGACACATTGTTGCGTGGTTATCGGGAGGGGGCCTGAGGCAGACAGCTGCCGGACTCCTGAGTCTCCTGCTGAAGGTCACCTCCTGCAGAGAGGTCTCTACTTCTCTTGTCCACCTTGTCCCACTGCAGGCTTGTGGGCTGGCCCCCTGCCCCAGCCCCCTTGCCCCACAGCTGTGCCCTGCCAGTGCTGTCCCTCAACTCTCTGGGGTCCTGAACAGGACTCGCAGAGCTGCGTAGGCAGGTGGCGAGCAGCTCTCATCACCAAGGAACCTGCTCTTATTGCCAGCTGATGAGGCAGCTGTTAGTGCACAGAGAAGCTGAGTGACTTGGCTAGGGCGGCACAGCAAGTAGTTCTCAGGGCTGGAGTCCCTCGGAACCGGCTGTGTTCCCTGTCCACCCCGACCCCAGCCTGCACCGTTCCCATTGGACAGGCATTGGGTCCCTAGTGGTACAGTGCAGTCCCCGGATAGGAGGCCCTCTGGCCTGCTTCTCTCCTGTACCTGTCCTGGGCCTCAGAGTCACTTCCCACCTCGGCTGCCTCCCCCACGCCAAGCGGAGCCCAGTGCTGCAGCAGGGACAGCGGCTCTCCGGGAGACTCAGGGATGGGTGCTCCAGTTAGCACCCAGGACCAAGGTGCACGCAGCCTGCCTTCCCAGCTCAGGGTTCTGCTCGCCAGAAAGCACGAAGGCCATGGAGCAAACCCCGGGCAGGAGAAAGGTTCACTCCCCCCAAGGCTCCCACTCTCCCTCCGGCCTTGTCTACCCCTTCCCCTGAAGCTGGACAGTGGAGGTGACGGCAGTCTGAGCTTTGGAGAAGAGCTGACCCCTAGCACTCCTCCTACACACACACTGTGGCCCATTCCATTTGTTAGCAGCTGACTGAGAATCCCTGCTCTGGTAAAGTGGTCATTCTGCCCCGCCCTGGGATGGAAGCAGTGCCCTGAAGGGAGGGACCCAGTGGGCACGGGCAGTGCAGGCTGGAATCCAGAGAGGAAGGTCTCTAGCAAAGACGGTGGAAAACTATAAGCTCTTTCTGCGGAGCCTAAGCTTGAGCCGGAAGGGTAGTCTTGTGACCGAGCCCACCTTGGTCACAAGAGCAGCTTTGAATTCCAAAGAGCACTATGAGTGAGGAGCTGGCCCAGTAGTTGCCACCTCCTGTGCACAGCTCTGTGCCCAATGTGGGCACTCATGGGCCCATTTTACAGATGGGAGACCTGGACCCAGCGAGATGAGAGGGCAGCACTCGGGTCTGCACTCAGGCCTAACTGAAGAGTCTACCTGCTTCCCCCACTGTCTCTTCAACTCTGACCCTGTGCGGCAGTTTCTCCCACCAGCCTGACCTGGCCCTCACCAAGGCCCCCCTAGAGTGCGGAAAGTCCTGATTCGAGTCCACAGTGGTATGCAGAGGAATAGCTTGACATCGTGGACGCTGGATGCTAAATTCTGTTCTCACCCTGGTTTCTATTTACTTGAATGTGTTTTCCCTTCTAGGTTGTCCTGATTGTCCTGCACCCTTGGTGCCCTTGGAAGATAAGCCCAGCACGGGCAGGCGTGTCGGTTTCGCTCCGAGTTCTCTGCTCTTTCTGCCGGGCACTGACTGCGGTCCAGGCAGTGGGGAAGGGGGTCAGGTGAGCTCTCCTTACTGGCTGGGGACAATGATGTTATTGTGCTCACCCCAGCACAGTACAACAGTGGCAGGACTGCAGGTGAGAGCACAGTCCTGGGAAGAGGCCCGGCAGGAGTGGGCAGCCCACGTGGGGGCGGCAGGGTAGATGCCGAGCTGGGCAGTTGGCCAGGTGGCTGGGGCTGGGCAGTGTGGAGGAAGCGCAGGGTGGCTGTGCCAGGGAGCTAGAGGCCTTTCGAGAGGCTGGATCTTCACCTGCGGGGATGGAAAGCCATCAAGAGTCTGCGGCTCCTGGCACTCAGGGTCTCCAAAGCATCTGTCAAGAGGCAGGCTGGGTCCTGTTTATCTCCAGGTTGGCTTCGGATCCCCCAGCCATCTGAGATCCTCCACTGAGAAGCTCCTGGGACCCTGCCA